ACAAATGGTGCTGGAACAATTGGTTAATCACATTTTCTCTAAAGTAGAGTTGGATTCCTACTGTGTACTAGACACAAGAATCAAGTCTGGATGGGACTTAAATGTGAAAGGCAAAATTATGAAACATTTAGAAGATAACGCAGTCTGCTCTTTGATCTTGGAGTAGGGAAGGATTTCTCAAATGAGGCACAAAGACTTTAAACCATGAAGGACTTTATTAAAATTAAGGCATTCTGTTCATGAGAACATATTCAAGAGGATGAAAAGACAAAACCCAAACTGGGAGAAGGTATTTGTCACCCATTGAACAGAGAAAAGCATCTACAGATTCAAAATGACAAGAGAAAGGGAGGAGGAAGAAAGCAGGAAAGAAAATGGTCAGAAAACATGAGCAAGTATTTCACCGGAGAAGAAAATCAAATGTTCCGTAAACATAAGCAAAGGTGCTCTGTCTCGCTACTGAGGAGGGAGGCGTAAAGGAAAACCCCGGTGAGCTGCAGTTGCACAGTCAGCAGACTGGGACTGCCTGCCTTTTTAAATTTTTGCCAGATATTCATGAGGCTATGGAATGAGGGAAACATTTATAACCCATTTGTACTTTGGAAAACAATTTAAAGATCCCTGGTAAAGTCAAACATGTGCAAACTACACCACCCAGAGTTTCCATCCCAGATTAGCCAGGGAAACTCATATCTGTCCAGCAAGGCAGGGGTCTTCAACCCCTGTAGCCTAGGAACCCAGCCACACAGCAGGAGGTGAGGTGAGCTGCAGGCGGAGAAGCTACATATGTATTTACAGCCGCTCCCCACCGCTCGCATCACTGCCTGAGCTCCGCCTCCCGTCAGATTAGCGGAGGCACTGGGTTCTCATAGGAGCACAAACCCTATTGTGAACTGTGTACGTGAGGGATCTAGGTTGAGGGTTCCTTATGAGAATCTAATGCCTGATGATCTGTCACTGTCTTCCATCTCCCCCAAATGGAACCATCTCGTTGCAGAAAAATAATCTCAGGGCTCTCACTGATGCTACATTATAGTGAGTTGTGTTTCATTATATATTACAATGTAATGGCAATAGAAATAAAGTACACAGTAAGTAATAATAATGTGTTTGAATCATCCTGAAACCATCCCCCACCCCCAGCCCCAGTTCCCTGGAAAAATTGTCTTCCACAAAATCGGCCCCTGGTGCCAAAAATGTTGGGGACTGCTGTAGTAGGGGACATGTACACAAGAACATGCATAACAGCATTGTAAGAGCAAAAAGAGGAGTGGACAGAAAGAATGCCAAAGTCCACCTGTAGGAGAAAGGACTTACACATTGTTTTTACAATAGAATACTATATAGCAATGAAAATACATGAACTACAGCTATAAACAACCATATGTATAAATCTAACAGATATGAGATTAAGTAAAAGAAACCAGTCCAGTCATAGAAGAATGGACAAAGTATGAGGCCATTTTTATAAGGTTCAAAACTGGGTAAAACTAAACAGTGTATTGCTTAGGAATATGTACATTAGAAATAAAACTGTAGAAGAAATCAAGATAATGATTAATAGAAACTTCAGCATAATGGTTACCTCTGATTGTGAATAAGGGAAATGTAATAATGAATTTAGCATGAGGAGGTGTATGAGATGAATTGCCTCTCCCTTCCCCCCAGCAAATTCCTATATTGATATCCTAATCCCAGTATCTTAGAATGTGACTGTATTTGGAGAAAGACCCTTTAAAAAGGCAATTAAAGTAAAATGAGGTCATATGTGTGGCCCCTAATCTGATATGGCTGGTGTCCTTATAAGAAGAGATCAGGACACAGACATACAAAAGGCCATCTGTGGACACAGTAAGAAGGCAACTGTCTCAAAGCTAAGGAAAGAGGCCTCAGAAGAAACCAAACCTGCCAATGCCTTCATCTTGGACATCTAGCTCCAAAGCTATAAGAAGATAAACTTCTGTTGTTTAAGCCACACGGTCTCTGGTATGTGTTATGACAGCCCCACCAAACTAGTACAGGAGGCTTCTAAGATTATAGAAATAGTCTCTTTTTCAGTTGGGTAGTAGGTGCCCTGGTGTTTATTTTACTGTTGTTTTCCAAATTGTACTTATACATTTTATATACTCTTGGATGTACTTTCCCACTTAAAAAAAAAATAGAACAACAATTACTGCCAAAACATTTCTGGCCCGTTGATTAGCATTTAATTGATTTATTCAGCAAGTGCATTTCTCTAAGCATTCAATAAAAGACATAGTTCCATTAGGGTAATCAATATATCATTTTTAAGAAAAGGAATGCCATAGTTTACCAGTACTACTCCATCATCTCCAATAGGTAACAATCAAAAGAAAATGGAATGAATACATGCTTTTAAGAAGTCTAAGGCAATTAGTGGTCTTAAATTAAAATAGCTGTCTGTTCTCCCTCTCTATTGATTTCTCCTTTACTAGTCATACCTCAACTAATGTACATAAAGATCTTCCCTGAAGGAAAATATATTCTTCTGCAAGATGTTGACACTGGACTCTCATAACAATTCTAGTACTTTATGTGGAATTACTACAAATGTTAATGCTTAAACTACCTCAATTCTTTGGGGGAAAAGGGATGTTGCAAATAATATATTTTTATTCACATATAAAATTGTCTGGATTTCCATTTAAGGTATGTGATCTGTGCATTGATATCTTAGGCAAAGACAATTTGTAACTAAAGTAACTAAGTTATGTATATATCATACATATGAAACATGTAGTTATACACACACATGTATACATACGTATGGTGTTTGGGCACATTTTGACAGAATTTTGAGAACGTATTTTGTTCTAATATTTTGTAAATATAATTAATAATCTTGTTTTTCAAACATATAATTAATGAGTACATATTGCAAACCCTGGAGAGAACATTATAGAAGCATTCATGGTTCAGCCCGGGTGTCAGCAAGTATAGGTAAATATGCCAGAGTCCCTGTGATGGACTCGAAAGCAAATACCTGTAAGGGCATAAGAACACTTTGACGGCCTACACTACAAAGAGATGGTGTATGCTTCTTGGCATGTAGGATCAAATAGTAAGATTAATTTCCAAATTTGAGTAAACACTCAGAAATGCATACAGTTCTTATAAACACCAGACAGTATCAAAATATATAAATTCTGTGTGTTTTTGTAATCTTTTGCTAGAGTAAATCCATCAAAAACAAGGCCTGTGTAAACCCAGAAAACATACGTGAGAATTTCACATATCTGGAAATTCACCAATTTAACTCTTAAGTTTAAGTAACTACATAAAATAACGTCATCCTTCAATGAAAATAGAGAAAGAACCTCCTTGAAGCTCATAAGAAAAAACCCTTGGGTTTGTACCTATTTTTATCTCCTGAAGGCCCTGAAATTTAAAATAATCTATTCCTCAGGCAAGCAATTGGATGATGTAAGTTTTAGGTCTTTGTCACCGACTCAGAGCTGTCCAATAGAACATTCCATGATGATAGAAATGCTGTTATATCTGTGCTGTCCCACAGTGGTGGCCACCTGCCACACTGAGTTATTGATTCTTGAAATGTACCCAGTATGACTGTGAACTAATTTTTAAATTTCATTTCATTTTAATTAACTTAAATAGCCATACACAGCTAATGGCTACCATGGGAGACACAGAAAGACTACCAGAAGATGTGCAAAGGGCTGCCCTAAAAATAAAGCAAACGATGTTTCAGCCTTTCTGATTCTGACCCAGTTATATGGCCTTAGTTAAGGCATGTTTCGCCTTTTTTCCCAAAACTCACGTGACCTTCAGTTGTTGTGGGTTTTCTTTAAATTCTGTTTCATTTTAACTAACTATTTTCATGTTGGATATTTGGAACCCACAGGCCATTTCATCTTAAAGTGTAGTGGCATGTGGTTAATTAAGTCATGGTATAGCTGAAACATTATACATACTGTGAAAAGATCTTTTGAGCTCTGGAGTTATAAGACCGACTTTCAAATATGAAATATTAGAAAACTATGTCTAAACTTCTCATTCTCTTAACTTTTATACAAGCATAGTACTGAAATAACTGACAAAGCAAAGGCAGACAAAGTCAACATAACTGAAGGAAGCACTAATTGAATGTGGCGGTGATCATGTCTCAGCAAGACTGAGTCCCCACGTTCCGCACTCATGCGGTGCTGACCAGGAAAAATGAGGTCTCCTTGAGTTTGTGGTGCCTGTCCCGATCCAACTCTCCCTCCACTCTTGTCTTCTTTTTTTTTTTTTTTTTTGAGACGAAGTTTCGCTCTTGTTGCCCAGGCTAGAGTGCGGTGGCGCGATCTTGGCTCACTACAACCTCCACCTCCCAGGTTCAAGCGATTCTCCTGCTTCAACCCCCTAAGTAGCTGGGATTACAGGGGTGTGACACCGCATCAGGCTAATTTTTTGTATTTTTAGTAGAGATGGGGTTTCACCATATTGGCCATGCTGGTCTTGAACTTCTGACCTCAGGTGATCCACCCCCCCATCGGCCTCCCAAAGGGCTGGGATTACAGGCTTGTTTTCTTTTTTTGAGACAGGGTCTCACTCTGTCACCCAGGCTGGAGTGCAGTAGCGTGACCATAGCTCACTGCAGCCCAAACTCCTGGGCTCAAGTGATCCTCTCGCCTCAGTCACCCAAGTAGCTAGGACCTCAGGCACAAACTACCACCCCTGGCTAATATTCTGATTTTTTTAAATTTTTATTTTTTTGTAGACACAGGGTCTCACTATGTTGCCCACCTAAGCTGGTCTCAAACTCCTGGACTCAAGCAATCCTCCAGTGTCTGGCCTTCACTGCTCTTTTTAAGCTGCAAGAAACCTTAGTTTATACGCTGTGTTGTGATGGCATTTGGCTCTTTCTTAGGTTGACCGCATCATTTATTCCCTCAATTGACTACTCCTGTGGGTCTTATTCAGATATTTGCAAGTCAAAGCCAAGTGTTTTCAACTGACTTTTCTTGTTTATCTTTCAGAATCATCCAGAAGTGCTGAATATTCAAATACAACTGGAAAGCAAAGAACTGATCATAAATCTGGAAAGAAATGAGTAAGTTAATTTTTGTTTATTGCTTGATAGGAGAAAGTTAAGGCACCATGGACAGAAAAGTGCTCTGTGATTTATGCTGGGGTTTAGAAAACAAGAACGAGATGCATGGATTTGTAATCCAAATTTGGATTTGAGGCGAGAATTAACTTTAAAAAATTATCTAATGGAAAAATAATTTTATCACTCTGTAAAGGAACTTTATAACTCAACAATATTTTTTCATAGTTCTGATGTTGTATTTTTTTCAGAGCCTGGTTGTTCAAAGATTTAACTTAAGCATCCCTGTACTGTTCAAATAACAGAGTTTCATAATTAATTGACTTTTGACAACTCCTGGATTGTATTAGGGGAAACAGCTTCAAACTGATAGAAATTATCTTCTCCCTGAGAAATACCAAGAGTTTATTTTATCTTTCAAAGCTTATCTCCAGTGGTTTGGACTATTTCTTTCATCTTCTTATTTTTAAAAATTGGTCCTTTTATGGAAAAATTATATAAATTTCCAGAAAGTGGCATTATGGCTTCTTCTGGGCCACTTGGATACGATTATGTATTTTGTGTGCCTTGCTAGCAGAAAACTTTGTCTGCCTCCAACCATAAGTAAAACAACTCATTTTCTTATTCTTTATACCCTGGCTATCCCCACAGATTCCTCAGATTTAAAGGACTCCTTAATATTCTATTTCATTTGTACCATAAAAGAAGAACTTATTAGTTCTTCTAATAAGACAGAAGTCAATTTTCCAAGTCCTGCTTGGTCAAAATAGCAGTTTCTCTCTTCCAAAAGTACTGGTTCCTGTTCCTCACCCATCAGCAGGATGCTGATTTTTTCTGAAACAAGAGTAAATGAGTTCTGTCAGGGACGTGGAGTCCCAGAACCTGACTCAATATCGTCCTCTAAACAAGTCAGATCATTTACTTGTGTTGGTGCTTTGAGTTGAGCGTTTTAAGCAAGTCAGATGAAAGACACAGTCAATCAACAGCCAGCCCGAATGTTCAGTATCTAATGCCAAAATACATAAAAATGTATATAAAATCACACTACCTGCTCCCTGGGATCCGCAACCTGCCTCTTTGTATTTTTTTCTTATATGCTTACTGCTCACCATTAAATGGATCAGAAGCTTTGGAAACAAGAAATGAGGTGTTTTTAGCTTTTCTTGTGACTTGATCTTAAAATAGAGGTTCAGGCACATATATTATATAATCAGGAATCTGAAGAGAAAACTGTACATTGCTTTTGATCCATCTCCCTTAGCAAAGTACATATTTTCATACTCTGTTTCTTTACATAAGAATATCGAGGGGCACACATTTTTGTACATTTTTAGGTATGGTTTTGAAAATATCTCAGTGGAAGAAGCTAGGCATTCCCTGAAAGATCAAAAGAATATAAGCCTTCTGGTGGTGATGCATTTTCTCCATAGGGTTCTGTGGTGGGCAGCTGGATTTAGGAGTGTTCTTTATTGCACCTGCTCCCATTGTTAGACTGTTGGAAGAAACGTGGTGCACAGTATGAGGGGAGGCTAATCCTGAATGTTTTATGGAGCATTACGACTGCAGGTAGAGAAGCAAAAATCGACCTCATAAAAACCATAAGTTGATTTTACTATGAAAATAATATACATACCCAGTGAAGAAAACTGAACATTATAGGCGGGAAAGGAACAAATAACCCTAAATTATTTTTTAAAAAGTACTTTTACCACCAAACACAATCCTGTTTAAGATTCTGGTGAATTATATAGATGGGTTTTTTTTTTCTTATAAATAAGCCTTTGCTTCTTTTCTTTCTTAGTTGATATCATAGTCTATATGCAATTTGATATCCTACTACTTCATTTAGCTTCATAATGGACATACATTTCCATAGAGAAATAATTTCTTAGAGCCCATCTGGTTCTCTGAGTTTGTAAAGTGACTTAATAGCCTTATCCATGGTTCCCTCTGAAAATGATTTACCTTCCATTACCGCAGATACTATAATACATGTTCATTGCTAGATAGTAGCTAATTTGTATAAGTATCATTTTAAAAGGTGACTTAATTTGCTGCCTTTCAATTCTGAGTCTTTCACGAGATAATCTCAAAATTATAAAAGTTGAAAACATAAAACTATCTCTTTTTAATTTATTCCTCTCTTTGCAACCTCACTGTCAGACTGCATTTTCAAAAATATATAGAAAATGTTTCATATGTTCCTATGATAGTCTATAATTTTAATTGTATTACTTGTACCAATTTTAGAAATTCCATTATATTAAAAGTAACATTTTCATAATAAGAGGGGGCCAATATTACTATTTTACCGATGCATTACCAAAAATACTTCAGTGTAACAATTTTTTTGCAAAAGGTTACATATCTATTCCGAATTAACTATACCTTGGATGCAATGAATACTAAAAACAAAAAAAAAAAAATCAAGTAGGCTGAAATGCTTGTGCACTACTAGCATGTAAGGCTGTTAGACGCTAAAGGCAATCAATCATTTAGTATATAATAGAATTTTTAATTTGCTTAACCATTGGCCCAATAGATTCAAGTCAGAGAGTTTTTACAAATGAAACTATAAGAAACCAGAGATAAAAACATAAGCAGAGGCCATTTACATGTTTAACAATGAGTACAATAAAGGCCCTGACCAATCAGAATGAACAGCCGACCAATCTGACCAATCAGAAGGCAGACTGGTCAGTACACCGCTCCAACACCTTCAGCCCTGGAGTCAGCCCTGTGCTTAAAGATGTTTTACCTAAAAGTACGTCAATAGGAGACTGATTCAATAATCAGCTATGAAACAGGATACCATACAACAGTTTTAAATGATGAGACTTTTATTATAAAAAAATTTATGGTATAATCAATGTAACTAGCATGTTAGAAAATAGTTGTTTCTGCTAGTGTTTATTTTTAAAAAATGAAAATAGTTTACATAGTATCCAATTTTTATTTTAAAATTATACACATGACGTGTATCTCTGAGTAGGAAGATTATAGAAGATATTTACTTTCTTTATTGTATTAATGTTTCACAAAAAAAAATATTTTAAAATTAGGAAAAAACATTTTTTTTTGAAGGAAAAAAAAAACCTATCTTAAAAACTTGATAATGGTTGAAAAGAAGAATGCTAACGTATCTATTATTCCTAAAAAGAAAATGATAAAGGTTATTCTGAAAGGCCTCTGGAAGGCCTCTGGTGACTTTTAAAGAGCAAAATAATACCTACTCATTGAATATTGGGTCTTTAAATATCCAGAAGTTTGCTGTAATTGAAAAACCTGCTTAGAAACCACAACCTAAATTAAAGCGGTCCTATTCCCTTAAATCTGTAGCTAATGCTGAGAGTCATCTAATTAACCCTACTCAAAATGCTTCTGTGGTAAACCGATTCTTCATGGCACAGGGCTGAATTTTTATTAAATAGTTTTTCAGGGAATCTCTTTTATTTGCCTTCTAACATCCCTAATTTATGAAAAGACTGGATGCTGTTCACTTAAAATCTGTATTTGTATAGCTGTAATGGAATGTTTAAAGAAACACAAAGCTTCCCTTGAGAAGCATTTTTCACAATATTGCTGTCTGCCTATGGACCTGCAGAAACTGGGTTGATAACTTTTCTAACTCTGCTAGATCCCCGTGGACTCTCAGGCCGTCCCTTACACAGGTATTCGGTGAAACTATATCTTTGATCAAAATGTTTTATTGGACAGGCTGGCCAGCTTCAACATCAGTTTTTCCATTTTAGGACAATGAAGAGTGATGGCGGTAGATCACGTTCCCTGCATCTCTCAATCCCAGCATGCCTTCAAACTCTGTTCCCATCACTGATTGAAGGCAGTTGCCATGGGAAGTCCATAGCCCTCTGAATTTATGTTTGGGGTATCTCTGGGATAGAATAACTTCAGCACTGACTTATTTTGTCTAAAACGATTCCAGACATCTCTTACGGGGCAACTTTAATTAGTATTCACTCTAAAACAATAACAGAAAGGGCATTTTAAAATGGCCAAACATGGGTATAAATATTTGGAAAGGCATTTATCTTAGATCATCTCTCAGAATATCATGATACAGAATGGAGAAATGTAACCAGTGTGGAGATGGCATTAGATGGTTTAGTTGGCTGAATCACCATCCAGAGGACATTAGGCCATTGTTCCCATTGACCCAACCCATGTTGAAGAGGGGGACTGAGGTTGCTGCCGACGGCCTTAGGGCTGTGCGCATGGCCTTGTCCTGGCCCACAGTTTCCTGGGCCATCGCGATGAAGACATAAAAGGTGCTCTGATCACATTTCCTGGCAGTGCAGAGCTGGGGGACATAACTGTGCTTGGCATGGCAAAATCTGGATTATGAGGATTTCAGCAGTTTGGATCAATGGGCCAAAACTAACAAGATGAGATTTAATGGGGATAAATGTAAAATCCTACACTTGGGTTAATAAAAAAATAAACGTTGCAAGTTCAGAAGGAAATTTGTTAGTAGTTCTCGTGAATGAGACCTGCATACTCAAAAGAAGCCCCTGGGGCAACGTGGCTGCTAAAAAGGTGACTGCTGCCTGAGCGTGTGGGGGTATACATGGTGGGTCCTAGACAGGGGAGGTCATCCCTCTGCTACACAGGGCGGGGCACAGTCAAAACCGTGCATCCTTCACTGTTCCAAGCCTGACATCAGAGAGCCACCTGCTGCTTTACTCTTATTTCCACCATTGGGTGTTCCTTTCCTTTCCTGCTCCACCAACCATGACATCCTTACAGTGAGGGGTAGGGTCTTAATATCCTCCCTGACCACCTCCCACACAGCGTGGCTCATCATAGGCACTCGATAAGCACTCCTCAAATGAATGGAGAGCCTGGACAACCTGGACCAAGCCGGAAGTGAGTTCCCAGGAGGTCGAAGGTCACCTGGGTGGGGTGAGGAACAATTCAAGGAGAAAAGCTTCCAGAAAGGAACACATGATTTGGAGTTAGGAGCCCAGGCTTTGAAAGCAGCTCCG